GTTTAATGTTACCAAAGTCGTTACGAAAGCGATTATAAATCCAGTTTAGGATTGAATTGTGGGAGTTTCTAGTCCTTACAGAATGTAATAATCGTTAAGTGGAATTGTATTACGCGGGTAATCAGGTAATAACCCTTCGTTACTGATATAGTGAGCGGTATGAACGAAACCGTTTTATATAACCAGTTTTAGAGAAATATTTTATCCCATCAGACAAAATAAACATTCGATTTTCTATTTTATTATGATACTTTACAAGTAATTACAACTTCTTCGGCTTATCGCCAAGCCTTAAATTAGTGTAGCCAGGTAACTTTCTTTCTTACGTATAACATCCGGCGAAGAAAAGGGGGAATGGGCGGGGGATTACGTGAAAGTGGACGTTGTCTCTTGTTAACGTAACATGTTGACCAATATATCGAGGAGATGTGACAGGAATAGAGGACACATCCTTAGAGTTAAAACGTTTTGTTGCGTAGGTACTAATTTTTCATGCATAGTATCGAAACATTTGTCTGGTAGTTTTCCTATCCAGAATGAAGTCAAACAAGGAGATGCTTTATCGCCACTGCTTTTCAACTTTGCTTTAGAATATGTCATTAGGAAGAGCCAGGAAAACCAGGTGGGACTTAAATTAAATGGGACACATCAGCTGCTTGTCTTTGCTGATGATGTGGATCTGCTGGGTGATAATATATACATTTTTTCCCCTTGGCACTACAGCACCAGTGGGCCTAGGGCTACCTCTATGAACTTCTCCGTTCACTTCGGTTTTTCTTGATCTTACACATTCGGTAGGACTCCTTGGGCGGGTGATCAGCTCATCGCAAGGCCTCTACCTGTAAAGAAACACATAAAAACGCACACACACAAACTAAACACCCATGCCCTGAGTGGGATTCGAACCCGTGATCCCGATTGCCAAGCGAGCGAAGACAGTACATGCCTGAGACCGCTCGGCTACCGTGACCGGCGATAATATATACATATATCACAAAGAAAAACACAGAAACTTTAATTGACACTAGTAAGGAGGTTGGTGTAAAAGTAAACACAGAGAAAACTAAGTATATGTTGCTGTCTCGTCACCAAAATGCAGGGCAAAATCATGACATAAAGATAGGTAACAGATGTTTTGAAAATGTGGCACAGTTCAGATATTTGGGAACGACAATAACAAATCAAACCCTGATTCTGGAAGAAATTAAGAGGAGATTTAATTAGGGTGATGTTTGCTACCATTCATTCCAGAACATTTATCTACTCGTCTGATAATTAGAATATACAGGACTATATTTATGCTTGGTCCGGTCACGATAGCCGAGCGGTCTAAGGCATGTACTGTCTTCGCTCGCTTGGAAACCGGGATCGTTGGTTCGAATCCCACTCAGGGCATGGATGTTGAGTTTGTGTGTGTGCGTTTTTCTGTGTTTGTATACAGGTAGAGGCCTTGCGACGAGCTGATCACCCGCCCAAGGAGTCCTACCGAATGTGTAAGATCTAGAAAAACCGAAGTGAACGGAGAAGTTCATGGAGGTAGGCCTAGGCCCACTGGGGCTGTAGTGCCAAGGAAAACAAAATATTTATGCTTGTGGTTCTGTATAGGTGTGGAACTTGGTCTCTGACATTAAGGCAATAACACAGACTGGATCTGTTTAAGAACAGGGTGCTGAGGAAAATATTTGGACCAAAAAGGAATGAAATAATGGGGGATTGGAGAAAACTGCTTAATGAGGAGGTTTGTATAATTGTCGTGTGTCTGGACATTTGGGCCAAAGCGATAGAGCTAGCTCCTATTTCCAGAGTTGTTTTAATGTTTTTAATGTTTGTCTTAACTCTCGCAGATGTTTTGTGCTGTGCTTGGTCTATATATGGGTCTCTGACGTTAAGGGAGGAATACAGACTGAGGGTGTTTTAGAACAAGGTGCTGAGGAGAATATTTGGACTGAAGAGAGATAAAGTGACAGGAGGTTGGAGAAAACTGCATAATGAGGAGCTTCATAACTTATACTCTTCTCCAAATATAATTAAAACGATCAAGTCAAGGAGGATGAGATTGGCAGGACATGTAGCACTAATGGAGAGAAATAGAATGTATATAGGATATTGGTGGGAAAGCCAGAAGAAAAGAGACACTAGGAAGATCAAGAAGTAGGTGGGTGGGTAATATTAAATTGGATGTTGGAGAAAGGATGGGGTTGTGTAGACTGGATCAAACTGGCTCGGGATAGGGACCAGTGGAGGACTGTTGTGAACACGGTAATGAACCTACGGTTTCCTTAAATTTGCTGGGAAGTTCTTGAGTTGCTGCACAACTGGCGGCTTTTCGAGAAGGTCTCAGCTCCATGAAGTTTGCTAGCTATGTCGAAACGAAAGTATCGATTGTCTTGTGGTGATTGTTTGGCAATGGTTGTCATCGTTAGAGAACTGCGACAACTACAGAGTTATAAACGTGAACTATATTGTAGGAAACAAATTGCTTCAGCTGTTTTATGTTCACATCCTGACTGTTATGCTATGCGAATTGCAAAATCGTTTGGTATGAAAATATTCTAGCTACAGCTTGTGGTTCTCACGGCACTAACTATGAAAATTACGGTTTGTGTGGTGTAACGCCACCTGGCTCGGAACATCGCCTCCATCTTCAAGGTCGAGTGAACAAATCAGGCGTCAAGCTGCTGATCTTACGGGGGAGAGTCAGTAAATAAATCACAAATGGAAGTAAAACAGCTGTAATGTACGTAATAGGTTTTTTTATGTGTATCACTAGGTAGCAGCACAGTCCAGCTTCCTGAGAGTTTAGGTAGCAGAGGTGCATGCGCATGTTTAGAGTCTGTTTCAGTAGTCAAAATGGCTACAGTGCTTGAGTCGTGTTGCGCGTTTTTTGTGAGCATAAAGATTCAATGCAGAGGATATTCATAGAGAAAATTTCTTGATTACGGTGGGAAGTGTTGGTCATGTAAAGCGGTTCACAAGTGGGTGGCAAACTTTTCTCTGATAACGAAAAGGTTGAAACGGAGGTACGGAAGTGACCGAGACAACAGTCAGAATACTTGTATGTGCTGCAGGTTTCGACGCACTGGTAAAACGATGGAGAAGTGTAGTTGGTGGAGGATATGTTGAGAAATAACCTTTCCCCCCCCCCCAGGTTCGAATATAGCATGTTTTACGTTTTATGTCCATTTGTGACCTATGTACTGACTCTCCCTCGTTCTTTTCAACTCTGAAATTCTGGTTCTGCTGGTGTCTTGGTTGGTTTATTTGACCCTAAAAATGGAGGCGATGTGTTCACTCGAAACGTCGGGCTGCCTCCGAACTACATGGCGATACAACGTAAAGCACGGCATGATTTCAATGGAAGACAGACGATATTTCTCTCTCTGAGGAACTTCGGATTTAATTCTGAATGACTTCATCTTCTGACATGAGCATTGCTTTAAGCTGAGACCTCATGTGTGAGTCAGAAATTGGTTGGTAACAGTCGGGGCTGAACTTGAGTCAGAATAGTGCCCAGCTACTCTTATTTGAGTGCCGGGACACCGACCTGGCACCCCTCTTAATGACACTGATTTGAAACACAAAGTTCTAACAGCCCGCTTTATTTTCTGGGCCACTGAGGTTGAAGCCTCAGTGCCTACAGATATGTGCGCGCTCATTAGTCGTCTCTTCTGCACTTAAAAGCTGTCGTTAGGTAACGGTAACGGCTTATACCCATTTCTTTCAGCATGGATATTTACTCCGGGATATTTTACTTTTATGCCTACAACTCTGGTTACAGAGTAAGGAACTGAGATTTTTATCCTAATATTTAGTTACTCATGGAGATCAGCCCTTCTTGAGGAGCCGCCAATTCTGCAGCTACTCAAATATTTCCCATCATTTTATGGAACACAAAGGTTCATTACCGTGTTCACAAGAGCCCTCCATTGGTCCCTATCCTGAGCCAGATGAATCCAATCCATACCATCCCATTCTGTCTCTCCAAGATCCATTTTATTATTGTCCACCCACCTACGCCTTGGTCTTCCCAGTGGTCTCTTTCCTTCTGGCTTACCCACCAATATCCTATATACATTCTTCTTCTCTCCATTCGTGCTACATATCCTGCCAATCTCATCCTCCTTGACTTGGTCGTTTTAATTATACTTGGAGAAGAGTACAAGTTATGAAGCTCCTCATTAGGCTGTTTTCTCCAACCTCCTGTCACTTCATCTCTCTTCGGTCCTAATATTCTCCTCAACACCTTTTTGAAAAAATAAAAGTAGGCTTATACGGTCACCATGCTCTCTGTGTGCCTGTATATCCACTTCATTAGCTTCTGAATGGCTAAACCGATCTTTATGAAGCTCGGTATGCATATCATGGCACCTGAGCCCATCTCCACGGTGTACTTCATAAATCCCACCCATAAATCTCTTTGTATGTGCATCCCTCGTGATACACTGTGATCGGCCTTGGTAAATTATACGTGCAAGTAAAATGCTGGTAACAGCAGACAAAAGGTAATGCGAAATGTCTGTGTGTTCCTACAACATGTTGCTATCTACCTACAAGACTACACGATGTCACAATCTGTGTAATGTTGCCACACACAGTAAGCTATTTCAGAAAAAGTGATCAACTTCGAAGCTGTTTAGTAAATGCTTTCGAAGGCCGCGCCATAGCTCAAGCGGTTAGTCGCTGGCTTCCCACCGCGGCGGCCCGGGTTCGAGCACGGGACTGGCCAAGTGGGATTTGTGGTGGACAAATTGGCGCTAGGGCAGGCTTTCTTGAAGTACTTGGCTTCCCCTGCCAATCTTCATTCCACCAAATTCTCCATCATCATAATCACCCGGGGCAGGTACAATAGACCAAAATAGTAGTCGACGTGCCGACTACTTCTGGATCTGTAGCCAGGAACGCTGACCACTAGACCACAGAGGCGATACCTCACCCCAATAATAATGCTATGTTGCGCTGAAATGTCGGTGATGTTTTTATTTCTTCTATTTTGTTTCTAGCCATTCTAGAACCTTCTAGGCGTGAGCGGGCTGCTGGGATCGAGAAAATTCTAGACACCAATGGGACGGTTGTGGAGAAGTCTGAAAACTTCGAGAGGGAGGCCTGCGCCGCTGGCACGTGATTCGCCTCCCCCTGCACCCGATCCGCATCGTAAGTTGCTCACAGGAAGCTTATATTCACCAACTTGATGACCTGAAGTCTTATAGATTATATGTTGGTAATGTCCTACATCATCAACAGTAATGTCATCATTAAAATGTATAACCCAACAATGGCATGCGATCACAACGCATGCGTAGGTTGTCACGCGATCGTATTGTTTCTAACTTGTTAATATGTGAATTCGTGGCAACAAACTCGTCAGTGATACGTTGCCGGATATTGCTCGGTGTACATCCGGGTACTCAGCGCCCTCTCAAATTTCGCCATAAGAGAGTCCAACGGGGTGAAGACAGGAGATCGAGCGGGTCACATTTTACGTGTAGTTGAACTAAGAAGTCAATCATTCATCCACGATTACAGCTATGCGTTGAATTTAACGGTGAGCACTTTTATCTCCTTTTGTGAATCCCTTTGTTGGTTCAGAATACTAAGTTATTCACTCAAGCTGATATGTCAAATATTTTTGTTGCATATTATTGTTTTCTGTTGTAATCAGAATGAGAGTTAGTTAGTTAGTTAGTTAGTTATTGGAGAGGGTGGGTTTCCCCATGCACTGAGACCAGTATTGGTCCATTGTGCTTCCCTCTATGATATTCTACCAGTCTCTATACCCTACCGATATTGGTACGTACCATCAGTCCCGACCGAGCCAGCGAGTTCGGCCTCTACTGGCTTGGCGGTATCTATAATGCTTCCCCCATCTATCAGAGGCGTTAGAGACTACTGTTGGGCGGGAAATGCCCTTGAATTTAGCTCAGTGACCTCCTTTGGAGATATGAGGTTCTTTTACGTGCCGTAAAGCTACGACACGGGACCCACGGCTTAAAGTCCCTCCCGGAGGACTTGCTCCCTGAATTTTTCCGCCCTTAAAAATTCCACGACCTCCGCCGGGTTTGAACCCGCGTACCACGAGTCATGAGGTGGGAACGTTACCTCTAGACTACGGAGGCCGCTAATCAGAATGATAATGTATGATAGTAGGGGACATGCGGTAGAGTAGTTGGTTGGGGCACTATGCTACAAGTCGGAAGGTCGCGGTTTCGATTCTCGAGGAGGTCATTGGATTTTTCTATTCCAACAGAAATGAGTACCAGAAATCTTCCGCGGGTGTAAAAGGGGGCTGGCGCGAAAGGCTGACAACCTCACAGCCATCTGTAAGTCGGTTCGTCTAGAGAATGTGGGAGCCTCGATGTCTCACAACACTATGGACATCGACGGATAGCTTTACCTTTTACTGTATGGTAGTAGTTTTGAAATTTTCCAATAAAAAATATAGGACCCCGCTTAAAAATGCTCATAACCTCGAAATATTATGAACCAAAAATGTAATAAATAGTGTACCATATCATGTAACCTTGTGGAAACCAAACAGTCTGTGCCCAAGCACTTTTATTTGGTGCTAAATGTTTCAAGTGATCGAAATAAGAGGGATATTTTGTATGCGAGCTGCCAGAAATCCCACAAATTCAACACTGATGATGACAACTGCAAAGTTCTCCGAAACATTCGACGAGCCTATGTCCTAGGAGGTTAAGTTGTCCATCCTCTAAATTAAAAATGAGGCTCTGATGACGTGTGGAGATGTAACCTCGTCACTGGACTGGGGCGAATGATCAGTTTCACACTCCGATCGTCTTACCTCCTAGAAAAACCTCTCCTATATGCATTAACCTGATCTCAGAGCCGGTGTACAAGCGATCGGGAGAGAAGCATTTCTGCCTCTGTCGTGAGTCAAACCTCGGCTTATAGGCCGTAGCCGATCGCTGTACTGAGTGAGATATCCCGTCTTCTAGTTGAATGGCGGAGACAAGAAATAGTTATAATCTTAATGAGGAGGTCTGTAGTAAAACAATTAGTCAAGAGACTGAGGAGATGGAATAATATTAAACTAGAAGTTATGATGTTGGAAGATAAGTGAAAGTGGTTTATGTTCGTGTACATTAGGGGTGTTGGTCCAACAGGTTGCCAAGGTTATGAACGTGATTAAATATACAAATTCGGAATAGGAGAAGCCCAAGGTGACTATTGGTATTATAAAGCTATAAACGCATAATCACATTATTCTACAGGAGAAGCATGACTGCATAATGAGGAGCTTCATAACTTGTACTCTTCTCCAAGTATAATTAGAATGAAGTCAAGGAGGATGAGGTGGGCAGGGCATGTAGCACGAATTGGGGAGACGAATGCATATAGGATATTGGTTGGAAAGCCAGAAGGAAAGAGACCACTGGGAACACCAGGGCGTAGGTGGGTGGATAATATTAAAATGGATCTTAGAGAGATAGGATGAGATGGTATGGATTGGATTGGATTGGTGTGGCTCAGGTTAGGGAACAGTGGAGGGCTCTTGTGAACACAGCAATGAACCTTCGGGTTCCATAAAATGCTGGGAAATTCTTGAGTAGCTGCAGAATTGGCGACTCCTCAAGAAGGGCTCAGCACAAAGAGTAAGAAAGTAAGTATCCTACAGGAGAAGCATGGCTGATATAACACTTCGAGGCACGAAGAACATCAAAATTTTACTCAATTCTGCTCTTACATCACAAAACATATATTGCGTTTCCATTAAGAGACCCAGAAGATTAAATATATTTAAAGGGGAAAAATCGCTGTTACTTTAAAATTATGAGAAGCAAACGCGTTCAACGTTCTAAATGCAAAGTTTTTTGGAATATTTAAGAAGACCTGTATAGTAACTACTATACTTTAAGGAGTTAAGAAATGCGTTTCCCCGTTTCCCGTAATTTCTCTACGATTCGTATTCATCACAACAAGTTCATTCATTTCACAAACGTTCACGGTCAAATGACCGTCAGACATCTGTAGCGAGCTCTTGTGATCGTAATTCTCCGAACCGTCAATAGAGTACAGCAGTGGACTGAAGTTGCTGAAGATGAGGACAGGCTGCACGCTCGCGACATCTGGTAACCATCTGGGTAATGACTTCATAAATTGGCATCAACGGTGAAGCCGCATGGGCTCAATCAGTAGAGTTTATCAGCAACGTATTGAGAATTTTAGGAGCCGGTGTCTTTCGACGATCGAAGTTCGATTCCCTGCAGAGCCAGACGCTTCTTTCTTCGCCAAGCTTTCAGTTTGGCCCTGGGGCCTATGCATTACATTCCTACAAAGTGACCTGAATATTTCAGGTATCCAGTTCCAATCTCTACCGAGGCTCTGAGTATCCCGGCAAGATTTTCGTGAGTTTCCTTAGTCCTTCCAGGCATGTCCCGAAACACACTCTATTTCCCACAATTCTCCAGTTCATTATTCACTTATTACCTTCCCCTACGTCTCCACTAGCGTATGTGGCGCCTTCTAGCTAACCATGGATCAACCATGTGGTTGTATGGAAAGAGCTCCGTTCACATTAACGCTTGTGGAAAATGAGCCCTAAAATTTGACCCTACGTAATCCGAGTTATCGACGGCATCGCCAAATATGCAACTAACTAACTCTATAGAGCGTGGATCCTTGTTGAGAATCCTCCAGTCGCTCAGCCAGTCAGCAATTTCCTAAAATTTTATGGAACCTGTAACTTTATTACCATGGTCACAAGAGTCTTCCTGAGACAGATGAATCCAGTATATACCACCCCATGCTATTTCTCTTAACATCCATTCTATTATTATTATCCTCTCAGCTACGTCTAGGTCTTCGTAGTAGTCTCATTCTATCTTTCCCACCAAAATCATATCTGCAATCCTCTTCGCCCCCATGCGTGCTACATGCCATGCCCATCTCATCCTTCTTGATTTGGTCATTCTAAATGGCGAAGAGTACAAGTTATGGCGCTTCTCATTTTAAAAATAAACAATAAATAAATACATTGTTAATATGTGGAGCTGTGTCGCCACTCCCCAATACACATTTCGTGCTTGACTAAGCTCAGGGACAAATTGACATTTGTCTCGACTTGAGTCAAAAGCTTAATGCCAGTACTTTAATTATTACCCATTTCTTCCCCATGAAGTCCCCAAGAATTGAGATTGCTACTCGGATCGGTGACAGGATAACCTGACCAAAATTTTCGTGGCATTCTTCAGTTCCTGCACGCAAATTCCAGGATAGTGTTTCCAACTCTGTTACAAGTGTTTCCTTCCAAACCGTTTCCAACTCTTTATAAAAGTCTCTCCACGTCGTCCAGATCTGCTCTGGGGCCCTCCAAGACTCCTGGCTAGTGGTTACCTGGGATAACGAGGCCGGGGCTTGAAGCTGACCATTCACCTCTATTCATTCCCATATGTCTTCAAGGCAAAGTGCTTAATTAATTAAGCACAGGAACTGCTTTATTTTTATTTCCATTGGCGCTACAGCCCTCCTTTGGGCCTAGGCCTACCTCCATGAAACTCTCCGTTCACTTCGGTTTACTAGATCTTAGACATTCGGTAGGACTCCTTGGGCTTGTGATCAGCTGGTCGTAAGGCTGTAGACGAACACAGAAAAACGCACACAAACATCCATGCCCTGCGTGGGATTCGAACCCACGATCCCGGCTTCCGAGCGAGCGAAGACAGTGCATGCCTTAGACCGCTCGGCTACCGTGACCGATACAGGGACTACTTTACCTTTTACAATTCGACAGTATGTAGCCTGGGTTGCTGACGGTGCATGTGGATAAACAATAAGCAAGTAAATAAACAGGAGGTGCTTCATGCAGATTGCGAATAAATATGGACGTGTGCGCTAGCTCAGCTCCTTTGGGCCGTGATGTACAGTTAATCTGTTACTTAAATTATATAAACAGCTAGGCTTTGTGTGATTATGAATTGTCTGGTTTATGTGGGTATGAAATTTTGTCTGTGCTACAAGCCGGAAGGTCGCGGGATCGAATCCCGATGAAGTCATTGATTTTTTTTTTATTTATCTAATCCTTCCAGCCGCACTATGGCCCTGGGTTCGAATCAGCCTCTGACAGAAATGAGTACCAGGAATATTCTTGGAATATTCTTGGCGGTAAAGGGCGGCCGGCGCGTAAGGCTGAC